TCTCCTCCATTCGACTGAAGCTATTTTGGAGCCCCCCAAGACCCGCTTCCAAATTCTCGATCCTCTCCTTGTTAGTCGCCATGAAAACCCGGCTCTAATACCAATGATAGGTCCCAGTCAGCAGCTAAGGGTATAATGATCTTCTTAGGGTGAGAACCAACCACAGAAAATTATTATTGAATCAACTTCTGCCTTCCCATATCTGAATTAGAGTTTAAATACAATTACAAATCAATTGCTTCCCTAAACATAAGGACTCAACTATCGACTACTTTCCTAAACTTAAGCCACAACTAATACATGGCCAAGTAGATACCCCACGACCGAGATATTCTCCAACCAGTTATTGACCCATTCTAAAGCAAATAAAGGAAACATAAAACAGAAACAGGAGTACGTCTACACGTCCAGCATCACTCCATGTACCTCGGATTCTTCCTGGGCACCCTAACAGACCTTCTTAACTTATCAGCCTTGCCTTGCCTTGCCTTGCGCCTCAAGCGCAAATTGACCCCTGCGCCTTTCTTGCGCCTTGCGCTTTTAAAACATTGTGCGAGACATAACAAGAATAATACAAAAAGTTAAGAAATGGAGAAATTCAAAGTATTTTTGTGGAATATTAGAGGCCTTTGCTTGGGTAGAAGGATGGTAATCAGTGGTTTTGTAAAAGACAGAAAGCCTGATTCCCTACTAATTCAGGAAACTAAATTACAGAAACTGACCTTCAGAGAGGTGAGGAGTGTTTGGGGTTTTGACTCTGTTGACTGGCTTGAACTCCCCACGGTGAATACTGCTGGTGGAGTAGCCCTATTGTGAAATAATAATTCCTTTAAACTTTTAGACAAGAGGATTGATCTGTTTTCCATCTCAGCCAAGTTTTTTGGTGGGAAGCAAAGAACCTTCAGTTACTGGTAACAGGGGTGTATTGGTAGGTGGACTCTAGTCTGAAAAAAGTTTTCTAGGAAGAACTAAACTAAGTTAGAAGAGATTGAGGAGGTCTTGGGTGATTGGGGGGGGAGATTTCAATGCTATTGTCAACCCAAAAGACAAGAAAGGTTGTACAAGGGTTAATAGAGGCATGAGACATTTTAAGGATTTCATTCAAAGATGGAGTTAATTAATTTTCCACTCTCTAGAGCAAGGTACACCTGGACCAATAACCAAGACAGTCCTTCACTTGTAAGACTAGATAGGTTCTTGATCTCTCCTGAATGGGAAGATTCCTTTCCCAACTCGAAGCAGGAAGCTCTCCCAAGGGCTGTTTCTGACCATATCCCACTTTGCTAGACACAGGTGGTTTGAGGAAATTTTCCCGCCCCTTTAGACTTGAATACTGCTGGCTGGACTCAGAGGAGTTGGTTTCAAATATTCAGCAATGGTGGGCTAAAGCCTCTTTTGAAGGCACAGCCAGTTATGGTTTTTTCAAAAAACTTGAGTGGCTGAAAGCTAAATTAAAACTGTGGCAAAAGGAAAGGTTAAAGAAGGATGAGGAGAAAAGGGAATATTGTCTGCTGATTTGAATGCAGAGGAGGAAATATGGAATATCGTCTGCTGATTTGTCTGGAGTAACTGCCATTCATAATTCGAGCAAAGAATTATCAAATCAAGTGCTAGATACTGGAAGAAAGAGTTCTCAAACCGAAATTAAAGATGGATGGCAACATTCATTCTTTCTTTTAAACTTGAAATTAATGAAGTGCAGGACTTGGTTTTTAATCCATCTTTGGGGTGTACATTATGACTTTTCAATTCCAGTCCTAAACTTCATTTCTAAAAAGTAGTTTCCAATAGCTAGTTTTTTCTTTTTTTTTTTTGGAAAAGGTAAGGTAAACTTATTCAAACAGAAAAGGAGAGAAGTACAACAAAACCCAGGCCAAAAAGACAGCCTGAGTGCAAATCAGATTACAGACTCCACCAAGACTGAGAACAAAACAAGTGAGACAAATTCTGATGCTTAAAATCCTCAGTAACCGACACCCAAGAGATCAGCTTGTCGACAACTCTCTGCACTAATTCTTCAGGACCTTTTAGCTCTATTACAGAAATTTATACTATTCCTCTCAGCCCAAATAGACCACAAAACAGCTGCAGGAATGGCTTCCACACTAATTTTCCTTTCTTGTTGAGGCCTTTAAATCTCCAACAGCACAGCAGGTCCTTGACTGATCTTGGCATAACCCAATTAATACCGAGAGCTTTCAGGAAATGTCCCCACACCAGGGAGAAAGTCGGGCAGTGAAGGTACAGGTGATCTGTAGTTTCTGGGAGAGAACCACACAAACCACAAGAGGGGTCCAGAATCTAAATGCCACGTCTCTCCAGGTTAGCTCCAGTCAAACGTTTATCAAGAGCCATTGTCCAAACAAGAAAGTTAGACTTGGAGGGGCTTGTTGGATTCCAAGCCTGATTGGCAGGAAAATCCGAAGGACCTGAACTGTTCAACTTGAGGGCCGAGGACTTAACAGAGAAACAACCATCTGAATTCCATTTCTAGCTCCATTCATCCTCCAAATTTATATCTATCCTCTGATTTTGAAGCAGCCCCAGCAGCTCCACAGTCTCTTCTAGCTCCCAATCAAACAAGCTTCACCTAAAAAGGGGGGTCCAAATAATGGTTCCTCCAGAAAAGTTATAACTCTCAGCCACTGAAGAGTCTTGATTAACAACACATTGGAAAAGAAGAGGGAAAGCTTCCACCAAAGGGCCCTCCAAGAACCAAGGGTCCTTCCAGAACTTTATTCTATCTCCTTTGCCAACCTTAAGACTGACCCCTTCCAAGAGGGCAGGAAGATTCTTCATAATGCCTACCCAAAGAGAGCTGCCCCAGTTTGGAGGAGGATCCCTTGATCTCCAATTACCCCACTCCACCTCATACTTAGAAGCTAAGAGGTTTCTCCACCAAGCATTACTTTCAGAAGCAAATCTCCATATCCACTTACTGAGAAGAGATGAATTAAACTTTCTTAATCCTAACCCCCCTTCTTCCTTAAGGAGACACACTTGATCCCACTTGACACGGTGTATTTTCTTTTCTTCTTCCCAACCCCTCCATAAGAAATTTCTCTATAATTGCTCCAGTCTTTTTGCTATTTTGTTTGGGATAGGGAAGAGAGAAAGAAAGTAAGTGGGTAGGTTAGAGAAGGTACACTTTATCAAAGTCACTCTACCACCAAAAGAAAGATATTTTGCCTTCCAAGAAGCCAATTCTTATTCCATTCTTTCAATGACTAGGACTCAAGCCGAAGAGGAAGACCATTTTGCCCCAAGGGGAAACCCCAAATACTTCACCGAGAGGAAATCAACCTGGCAAGCCAACACCTCAGCACATTCATCTAAATTTGAAACTTGGCCCACTAGAATAATCTGACTTTTACTCAAATTAACTTTAAGAGCAGAAACCACTTCAAACCAGCTAAGAATTCCAAGGACAATCTATAAATAATTCGGAGAGGCATCAACAAAGCATAAGGTATCATCTACAAATTGAAGGATATTGACCTTTTCCCTTTCAAGGGAGATTGCAAAGCCTTCCCAACACCCAGAGACTGCAGCCTTCTTGCTAACAAGTGTGAAGATTTCCATGACACAGATGAATAGCAAGGGAGCAAGGGGATCACCCTGTCTCAAGCCTCCAGAACTGTCAAAAAAACCCACAAATTGTCCATTAACCAAGATTGAGAATTTAGGAGACGTGATGCGGACTTTGATCCAGTTTCTCCATTGCTGCCCAAAGTTCATTTTTTCCAGCACAAAATCTAGGCATCTCCAGTTAACATGGTAACATGCTTTCTCAATATCAAGTTTACAAATCAAAAATGAAGTTCCCTCTCTTCATCTAGAGTCAATAAGTTCATAAGCAATGAGAACTGAGTCTAGCATCTGCCTCCCTGGAACATGGTCATATGCTTTCTCAATATCAAGTTTACATATCAAACCCGGAGTTCCCTCTCTTCTTCTAGAGCCAATAAGTTCATTAGCAATGAGAATTGAGTCTAGCATCTGCCTTCCCGGAACAAATGCACTCTGATTATTATAAATCACACTGCCTAAAACCCCTTCCATTCTTTCAACCAACACTTTAGCCAGGATTTTATAAAAACTGTGTAAAAGGCTGATTGGCCTAAAATCCTTGGTGTTCATAGTTCCCAATAGCTAGTTTCAAAATATCTAGTTTCATATGTTGCCTTTTTCCTTATTTACTTTAGTCTTATACCGTCAAAGTGTGGGTACTGATTTTCATCTTCAATTCTGACATTAGGTTTAAATTTTGAGCATAAATTGCATATTTGCTTCAGTTTCCAAAGTTTGAACTTAAGGTGCAATTACAAAATAGACTTTTCATATTGATATCAGATTTCAAAATTGGATTTTGATATTGCACTGCATGTTCCCCCTATTTCTAGTTTCATATTTTATTTATAATATCATATTTTAGAGCCTGCACTTAGAGAATGATCACAAAAGAGGATTTTCTACGTTTACATCAAATTTTCAGTTTTAGCTTTGGCATTGAAACCACACAACCCGTTTTTTTTTCAGGTTTCAATGTTAAATAAACCATTAATATGCTATTGTGATGATGCTAGGCACCAATAAAATCCTGCAACCTATTCATTCGAATAATCACAAATAATAACTGATAAAGGATGACTAATGGGGCAAGTAATTATTATAAACATATTCACCATTTACTTAAAAAAAAAAAAAAAAAAAAAACTCAGATCCACTAAAAAGGGCAGAGAGGGGGAAGAAAGAAAGAACGGAAGATTATATAGTAGATTTTCCATTTTTTGGCCAGTAAGAATTTAACTCTAAATCCAAATCTGAAAGCCATACACTCAAAACTATCCAAGATGAGCTCAGTGATGCTAACCTTAACCCAGGTAATATAAATCTTATTATGAATATCCCATCGAAGATTACAAAGAATTAGATAGCTATACAAGTTAATATTAAATAGCAAGCCTACAGTTGAGGATGATTCTATCTATAAATCATACCTTAATTGCAGGGACGAAAGTGAGCAACTGAGCACTCGAAAATGGTTCTTTGTGGTCTGTTTTCTGCAGCGGAGAAACAGGCGAGGAATGAAAAAATGTGTAAGAGAGAGGAGAGGAAGAAGAAGATGAAAGGGGAGAGACAAATTGGTGGTAACTTACCTCGTCGTCGCTAGAGAGCTCAGATCGATACTTCAGCTGCCGGAGGTGGGAGTGACGAAAGAGGAGGGAAAGGGAGTCGGAAAGTTGGAATAGGGTAGTGAAGGGTTTGAGGGGTTGTTTGTCATTTCATTTTCTTATTTCGATGAGCCGTGAGCGGGAACGGGATTTCGATTCCGGGGGGGAACTTTGGCTGCCCACGGATGAGTGGGGTGACAGGAATTCCTGTCTCTTGTCAACGTAACACATGTCCTCTTTTTGAAAACTTAAAAGTTGAAGCTTCACGCTTACATTTAATTAATAATTAAAGTATGGACATCGGGTGTGTCAGACAATTTGAATATAAATATAAATACGAATATGTTTGAAAAACGCATAACTATAAATAAAAAATATAAAATTGATTGAATATGCTAAGAAAATACATACAAATTCCATAAATATATTAATAATATTAAGTTTAATGTCAAAACAAATATAAATAATATATAAATACATAAGACTTATATATTTAAATGATATATATATTTATATATAAATAAATATATTATAATTAATATATCAGGACATGTAGGTATTACAAAATTTTATTAATAATGCATCAATCAAGAGTCCAAGGCAAATATTATATACTTTTTTATAGATTAATACATGCAAAAAGTCAATATTATTTTATTATCAATTAAAGTGTAAGGCATAAAGCATGTGTAATTATTATATTTGAATTATTATATCATTTTGTCTATTTTACTATTTTTATTTTTTAACATTAACAAAGAATTCAATTAAAAAATTAATTCTTAAATGTTTGATAAATAATAATTATATTTTTATTAAAATATTAATTAATAATTTATAAAAATATATAATCTTAATTTAAAATATATCAAATCTATTAAAATTTTGAAAATGCATATCATATGAAAATTCATAAACTTTAATTAATAAAATAATTATTCCATTAATAATATTTTATTTTTATACAATTTTGAAGTTAAAATTTATTTTTTATATTAAATGTAGATTAATGGATTTGATAGATTCAATTTATATTATATTTTCAAATACTTTGTAAACAATACCTTTATTTTTGTAAATAATAAATACATTGTTATTTAATGCAAATTGAAGTATTAATTAATAGTTTATAACAATTTAAGATACATATACCATATGCAAATTTATAAAATTTAAGTATTAAAATAATTATTCTATTATGAATATTTTATTTGTATAAATTTTTGAAATTAAAATTCATTTTTAATATATATGTAGATTTTATAAATTATTTATTCCACTGATTTATAAAATACTAATTTTGAAAATTGTTCTATCTAATTTATAAATAAAGTTTTTGAAAATAAATGTATGTTGTTTTTGTTTGCATGTAAACATTAAGTTTAATAAAAGTTATTTTATTACACTTATTAACATTAAATAAAAAATGACTTTGTGGTTAATGTACAAGCACGCCTTGGCATTGGCCAACTTGGGTTTGAGTCACACTCCTCCTGTTTGTATCCTTTATCGATGCAATCTGATGTTGAGCTCGTGTTGATATTTTAATACTTGCATTTAAGTATTTAACCTTGAATGTGGTCTTCACAACGTTAACAGGGAGTCCGTTAACCATTAACGTCCATCCACTTAGAGTCTATTCATTTATTCTTAACTATTATCTCTTAATATAAACTTTTAACTATTTATACTATTTTAAAAAGCACAAATGGCTTTAAGAATATTTCTAGAATTTTCTAAGGACAAAATTTACCCCTCTATATTTAAATTTATTGATAAAAATTAGGGGAAATAGGGTAATTAGTTATTGATATTAAATGAGTTGAAAAGAGGTAATTTAAAGATATTCAATTCTCTCTCATTAAATCCAATATTTAAGTTATTAACTTTCATTCGTGTTCATTGAATCATATATTTAAGCTATGTTTGTTTCTTCTCATCATTAAGTTCTATTAAATAAATCCATACTTAATAAATTAATAATTCTAATAACATAAAAGCTTATACTTTTAAAATCTACCTAGCAAAAATAGTGTTTTCATCTATGTGGTGGTAAGAAATTAAATCATTTTAGATCAAATGGGTTAACCCATGTTACCACGACTAAATAATAAAAATAAAAAATCTACACTACTTTAAAAAGCACAAATGGCCTCAATAATATTTCTGAAATTTCTTAAGGACAAAATTTACCCCTCTATATTTAAATTTATTTATAAAAAAATAGGGCAAATAGGGTAATTGGTTCTTGATATTAAATGAGTTGAAAAGAGGTAATTTAAAGATATTCAATTCATTCAATTCTCTCATTAAATCCAACATTTAAGTTATTAACTTGCATTCATGTTCATTGAATCATATATTTAAGTCATTTTTGTTTCTTCTCATCATTAAGTTCTATTAATTAAATCCATACTTAATAAATTAATAATTACAATAACATAAAAGCTTATACTTTTAAAATCTACCTAGCAAAAATAGTGTTTTCATCTAGGTGGTGGTAAGAAATTACATCATTTTGGGTCAAATGGGTTAATCCATGTTGCCACAACTAAATAATAAAAATAAAAAATAGATAAAATAAAAATAGAAATTAAAAAAATTTGGGAACATTTTTAACATACATATTAAACAATAATACGCATGATAAAAAAGAAATGTTTTTATTAATGATGGAAATGGAATATAAAATTTAAAACCAATTGGAAATAAAAGTAGTTTCCTATTCTCTCTCATTAAATCCTATATTTAAGATATATTTTTCTCATCATTAAATTATTGTAAATAAATACATAATATTAATTTTAATAGTATAAAAATAAATATTTTGAAAAGTAATTTGAAAACAAAACCATTTTCTTCCCTTCTAGTGGTGGGCAAGCAATTCGACCATTTGGGGTCAAATGGATTAATAAATAATTTCATAATTAAATGATAAAAAATTAAAATAAATAACTATGAAATGTAAGAAGTATTTTTATTAATGATAAAAATAGAATGCCAAATTCAAAAATTATCTATAAATTAAATGATGTCATAGTCAAATAATAAAATTTTTAATAATAGAAAATACAAAGAATCACAAAAATAAAATAAAAAAAGATAGAGAAAATTTTGGGCACATATTTAATGTTACATATTTATAAAAAATAAAATATTAGGTACATCTCTAATATTGTGCATTCATTATATTAAACAAAAATAAGCTTTATACATAAGAAATAATTTTATCAATGATGAAAATGTAATACAAAACTTAATGTCAACGTAGAAATCAAACAATTTTTATTTTTAGATGATGGTTAGTGGTTTGAGTCAAATGATACCATACACAAACAAAATTTTAAGTGTAAAAAGTAAAAAATATTTTATATAATATAAATGAAATATATAATTTAAAGGGAAAGTTATAGTCAAAGTCGGTTGTACATTTAAAATTAGGTTGCAGGTTGGTCCAAAAACCAACGAAACTCTGACAACTAGCTCTACATTTCAAATTATAAAAACCCTGCCATGTCATCGGAGGCTTATGTGGTTATTGCTAACATGAGACTTTTAATCCATGTTGGACACAACAAAAAACCTATACTATAAATAGGATTTTAGTTTCTTTCCCACTCCCTTTGTCTCTTAATCTCCCTCCCTTCCCTTTCATTCTCACAGTTATCTCTCGATCTCCTGCTCCCTCTGTCTCTCTCACTCTCTCAGCTTTAGTCTGGAGCCAAATCAAAACCTCTCTCTCTCTCTCTCTCTCTCTATTGTTCTCCCTCAATCTTTCTCATTCTTCTCCCTCACCCTCCCTCTTGGTTAATATCTCCTTCTCCCTCAATTTCTATCATTCACCAATTGGTGTAATTTTCAAAGCCAAGAATTTCTTGTCAATTTTTATCAAATTGGTATAATAATTTTTTAACCATACCAAGTTGTTCTCATGTTCTTTTATATGATCTGATTAATACCATATAAGTGTGTAAGAAAATAAAACAAATGAGAGAGGGAGTGGGAGAGAAACTGAAGGAGAATGATAGAAATTGATGATGAGTGATTTGACCCGACTTAATAAGTAAAGGACACGTGGATGCGGGCTGACAACCAGACAACAAATCAACATGTGGTGCCACGTCAGCAGATTGGGGGACCTCGGGTGCTCAGTTACTTCGGAGCCAGAGCACCTCGGTACCCACGTACGCCGAGGTGCCACAACTGAACCTAGAAGCTAACCAGTTGTCTCCGAACTTCTCGGGATCACGCCATGTAACTATAGGCCTTATCCTTACCCCGCCAAATTGGAGGGAAACGGTAAGCCTTATTAACTGATACGTTACCTTCCTTCCAAAGCAGAACGGATCCTTACATCGCAGGCCGAGGATTCCAGGAGCATTTCACGAGACCCATGACAGCCCAGCTATATAAGGGCATCAACCCCCAAGACTTAGGTACGCGTGATTACTTGCTCATTAGCCTACTTGCATTCAAGTTTTTAGCTCACAACCAGAGTACAATATTGACTTAAGCATCAGAGTGATCTCGCCGGGTTAGCCACCCCGGGTTCTCTGATACTTTATCTTGCAGTTTGGTTCAGCTTGCTATGCGACTAGTGTCTAGGTGATCTCCAGCTAGGAGATTCCAGATCGTGCACCATTAGAAATTAAGGGAGAAGGAGATATCAACCAAGAAAGAGGATGAGAGAGATTGGGGGAGAACGATAGGTAGAGAGAGAATTAGAGAAATTGATATAGAGAATGTAAATAGAGAAACCAAAAACCATTTTTATTTATTTTTAAACCACATAGTCGTTGAGCAGATAAAGATGACTGTGAGTGAAATGGTGTGAGCGGCGGCAACTACTTCTCTTTCTTCTTCTTCTGCTACCTCCCCTTTTGAACCCAAATCTGCTACCTTCCCCGTTCGAACCCAGAAGCAGAGCAACGGCGACAACTTCTCTTTCTTCTTCTTCTACTACCTTCCCCTTCCTCCCTCTCTCCTCTCTTCTTCGTCACAGTGCTTTTCCCATTATTTTCCCATATCTAAAACCAAACAATGGAAGTGTACATTTTTACACTTTCCCATCCCATCCCATCTTTTCCCTCCCCACAATCCAAACAGAGCCTAAGGTTACATTATCAAAAATCAAAATTTAAAGGAAAAATTCCATATTGGTACCCTGTACTTTAGGGCTTGTCACAAGTTAGTACAC